TGCAATTTGGCCCCTGTTTTTCAGAAAAATTGCAATATTGGTCTCGTTTTTCAGAAAAATTTCAATTTAGCCCCTGTTTTACTTCTGTAAAAGTTCTATTTGCCCCCTGAACTTCTGAAAAGTTCATATTGGTCCCCGTACTTCAAAAAAAAATAAAATATTCTTACTCGTGTATGCCCAAGTATATGCCAAGAATGACTACACCAACCTCGTCATCTTCTCAAGCCGGAGTTGAAAGTTTTCAAAGGACCGGGAAAGACGGTAGCGTTACGTTACACTATCCAATGCTCACGAAGATGAACTACGCGGTGTGGGCCATAAAAATGCGAGTGAATGTACAAGCACAAGGAGTATGGGATGTAATTAAAAATGCAGAAACGGACGAACGTAAAGATCGGATGGCTCTTGCGGCTATTTATCAAGCAATTCCAGAGGACGTAGTTTTGATGTTAGCTGAGAAGGACATAGCTAAAGAAGCATGGGAAACGCTCAAGATGATGCACATGGGAGCCGATCGGGTCAAGGAGGCTAAAGCTCAAACCTTGAGAAGTGACTTCGAGGTGATCCGGATGAAAGACAGTGAATCGGTAGATGATTTTTCCATGAGATTGAATACTATCGTAACCGGTATTCGATCTCTAGGTGAAAAGATTGAAGAAATTACGGTTGTGAAGAAGTTTCTGCGAGCCGTACCGATACGATTTATACAAATCGTAACATCGATCGAGCAATTCGGAGATTTGAAGAATATGACGGTGGAAGAAGTCGTGGGTCGTCTTAAGACCCATGAAGAGAGACTTCGAAGCTATGGAGAAAAAGAAGAAGGACCTTCTCTATTGCTTACACATGCTGAGTGGGCATCTCGTTCGAAGCAAACTGGCGAGAGAAACTCGTCAAACACTTCAAGAGGACGAGGAGGACATGGTAACCGAGGCCGGGGACGAGGCCGAGGTCGTGGACGTGGCCAAGGAGGTGGTCGCGAGTACAATACAAATCGGAATGACCATAATCCTTCTCGAAAGGATAAAAGTAAAATCAAATGCTTTACTTGTGAACAATTTTGTCATTATGCTTCGGAGTGTCCAAACAAGAATCGAGGTGAGGAGGCAAACCTCACTCAAGCCAACGAAGAAGAGCCTATTTTAATGATGGCAACCTCACAAGAATATGCACACAAAAAAGTGTCTCTAAGAGAGAAGATTTGTGTTAATCTTCTTGCATCGGGAGAAAGTCGAGTCGAGTCTGAGGTATGGTATCTCGACAACGGTGCTAGCAATCACATGACTGGAGACCGCTCAAAGTTTCGGGAACTAGATGAGCACGTTACGGGCCATGTGAAATTTGGGGATGGTTCGACCGTCGCTATTTTGGGAAAAGGGTTGATTTTATTCGATAACAAAAATGGCGACCAAAGACTCCTTAATGAGGTATATTTCATTCCAAGTCTAAAAAACAATATTATTAGTCTTGGACAAATGACGGAGGAAGGGAGTCGGGTCATAATGGATGGGTCGGATCTGACATTGTTTGACAGAAACAAAACTCTACTTTTGAGAGTTAAACGATCCCCAAACCGGTTATATAAAACTCCTTTAAGGACCGGTAGACCGACTTGTCTTTTAGCAACAAAAGACGAACCAGCTTGGATATGACATTCTAGACTCGGTCATGTTAACTTTCTCGCCTTAAAGAAGTTGTCCGAAAAGAATATGGCAATCGGAGTCCCAAAGATTGAGCACCCAAACCAAGTATGTGAAGGGTGCGTTCTTTCCAAACAAACCCGAATTCCTTTCCCGGATCATGCAGTTTTTCGAGCTCAAAAACCTCTACAACTTGTTCATGCGGACTTATGTGGTCCGATCACACCTACGTCTGTTGGAGGGAGTAAATATTTTCTCCTTTTTGTAGACGATTTTAGCCGGTGGATGTGGGTTTACATGCTATCGGAGAAGTCTCAAGCCTTGAGCGCTTTCAAACGGTTCAAGTTGATGGTTGAAAAGAATTCGGGTTATAAAATAAAGACACTTCGAACGGACCGAGGGGGAGAGTTCACTTCAAAAGAATTCTCATTATTTTGTGAAGAAAATGGTATTCAAAGGCATCTTACAACACCATATTCGGCTCAACAGAACGGAGTTGTAGAAAGGCGAAATCGGACCGTTATGGACATGGCAAGAAGTCTGCTCAAAGGTAGAAATGTTCCGGGAGAGTTTTGGGGAGAAGCGGTTAGACATGCAGTTTATCTTCTCAACCGCCTGCCAACAAAAGTACTTCCCGACAAGACGCCTTATGAAACGTGGTTTGGCAAAAAGCCCAACCTTGAACATCTAAAAGTTTTTGGTTGTGTTGCTTTTGCTAAACTTGTAGGTGGTCACCTGAAGAAGCTTGATGATCGAAGTAAGAAGATGGTGTATTTAGGTGTGGAAGATGGAACTAAAGGCAACCGTTTGTTTGATCCGCAAGACCGAAAGTTGCGAGTTAGTCGCGATGTTGTTTTTGACGAAAAAGAAGAATGGAATTGGTACAAAAACAAAGAAGAAGAGATGGCGACTCCTAAGACCTTTAACATAATTGAACCACAACCCCAAATACACCTCGAAACACCTCAAAATGACCCCGAAATCAATCCAGAACAACCAAACAGCCCAGGAATCGATGCTATCCAAGTTGGACAACCATATGCTGAATTTGACGAGCCTGAACCAGCTCCACATACTCCTGTCTCAGCCCCGTTTTCTTCAACCTCGCCCCATATGGAAAGCCCTTCTAGTGAGATTGGGCCAAGGGGATTGCGTTCGTTAACCGATATTTATTCTGAAACCGAAAATGTGTTCCTTGAACCCGGAGAATTGTTGATGATTGCAGCGGATCAACCCTTGAATTTTAAAGAGGCGGTAACCTCTAAGGCATGGCAAGAGGCTATGCAAACAGAGTTGGATGCAATCTAGAAGAACAAGACATGGCAACTTAATGATTTGCCACCCAGACACAAAGCAATCGGTTTTAAATGGGTGTTTAAAGTGAAGAAAGACAACTTGGGAAAAGTGGTGAAGCATAAAGCTCGACTTGTAGCAAAAGGATTTGTACAAAAGGAAGGAGTCGACTTTGATGAAGTTTTTGCACCGGTAGCACGACTTGACACCGTAAGGCTCATTCTTGCCTTAGCAGCTCAACATGGGTGGGTTGTCCACCATCTCGATGTCAAATCGGCTTTTCTCAATGGAGATCTCAAAGAGGAGGTTTATGTCACCCAACCAGAAGGTTATGTTGATAGAGCAAACAGTCATAAGGTGTTCAAGCTTCATAAAGCTCTTTATGGTCTACGACAAGCTCCTCGAGCTTGGAACATTCGTTTGGATAAAAGCTTAAAAAGGCTTGGTTTTACAAAAAGTTCACAAGACCCAACTGTTTACAAAAGGAACTCAAAAGACAAAATTCTTATTGTTGGTGTCTATGTTGATGACTTGATCATTACCGGGTCGAACACTAATGATGTTGTCGAATTCAAAGAACAAATGAAGAAAGAATTCGAAATGAGTGACTTGGGATTACTTTCTTACTAACTTGGAATCGAAGTTTCGCAAAAGAAGTGGGGAATATCTTTGCGACAAACGGCTTATACAAAGAAAATTTTAGAGCAATTTGGGTTGCTAGATTGTAATCCGACAACGTCACCAATGGAACCTAAGTTGAAGGTCAAGAAGGATGAAGATGGTGAAAAAGTTGATCCAACTGAATATAGGCGAGTGGTAGGTTGTTTAAGATACTTGACTCACACTCGACCAGACCTGTCATTTTCGGTTGGAATTGCAAGTCGTTTCATGGAGGAACCAACCACTTTGTATTTCCAAGTTGTGAAACACATCTTGCGATACGTAAAAGGAACCGTTGATTATGGAATCAACTATGGAAGAGGTCGTGAAATTGAAGATTTGGTTGGTTTTACCGATAGTGATCTTGGAGGTGACCCTGTTGATAGCAAGAGCACAAGTGGAATGATTTTCTATCTGGGAAGGAATGCGATAACTTGGCAATCCCAAAAGCAAAAGACTGTTGCTTTGTCCACGTGTGAAGCCGAGTTCATGGCAGCTACAACAGCAGCATGTCAAGCTATTTGGCTTGCTAATCTCGTGAAGGAGCTCACGGGACATCATATTATGCCTATCACCTTATATGTCGATAACAAGTCAGCAATCGCATTGATGAAAAATCCTGTGTTTCATGGTCGAAGCAAACACATTGACATTCGTTATCACTTCATACGAGAATGTGTTGAACGTGGGCAAATTATAGTGGAATATGTCAACTCGAAGGATCAACGGGCGGACGTCTTTACAAAGGCTTTAGCATACGTGAAACATGGTGAAATGCGAAACATGATCGGAGTGACGAATCTCGAGCCAAGTTAGGTTTAAGGGGGAGAATGTGAGTGTAAACCTACTTGGGTGTGAACCTGCCATGAGTAGCTGTACCACCCTCTTTTGTTGACAAATGAATGCCTCCTTTGTTGACAATAAGAACTCAAATGGCAACTTCGTATGTTCACATAATGAACACAATAAATGGTAGCAGTAGTAATTGTAGGCTTGTTTAAGTATAAATAGAGGCTCTAACCTCAGTTGTAAGACACCACAAACAGAGAGTGTAGTGTGTAATACTTAGAGTGAGTATTAGAGGGTTGTTTCTTTTTCTTGTAATATTGAGCGTGTAAGCTCTTCTCTTTTGTTCTAGTTCTGAATAAAAGTGTGTTTCAACCCCAACATAAATTATATATATGCCCCGTAACTTCGGGAGAATGGGTACCTGCTCACAAAGGGGGTCGCAGTGCTTTAACATTAGCAAGCAAAAAAAAGATTAAATGACAATCAAATCGCTTATTGTAGGGTGATGCTATTGAAGCAATTGCTGACCTAAATAATGAGGCACACTTCGACTCAATAATCAAGGTACAATCATGCTACACAATGACAAAATATGTATGCATTCTGTCAAGGAAATACATGCCAGCTGTAGACCACAAAGCAGCCCTAAAGATCGGAGAAAAGTTGAATTTATCCCCATCCCTGAGACCAATATACCAACCCAATACTTCAAGTTCGCCAGTTACAATATGTTGGAGACCCGAAGACAAGATCCCAAGCTACTTACAGGTAAACACAAAATACTTATCATAACTACAATCCTTAACAATGATCTTTTGATCTTACAATAACATTTGCAGGTTACATCGGCATAATCGAAAAAAACTTCGAGCTAACTACAAAAACAGGGAAAAAATAAGAAAAATGGTCATCCAAGATGAAAGGTACCTTCTTTATGTTGCTAAAACTTCAAAAAAAAAAATAAACCCAATCGTAATCGCTTAAGATACTAACTTTTTTTACTTATGAATAGCGGAAAAATGGTTGACATAACCTTTTGGCCTGAAACAACACATCTGCTAGCTGATAATATAAAAACTGGAGATATCATTGCGATCACAGCTACAGCAGCCACCGAGTACATGGGTATGTACATCTAAAAATATCGAAGTAAAGTAACCACTGTTAAATAGTATCGGACACATACTTACACCTATGTTTAATCAAGCCTACCGCAGCTTGAATCCACAAACACAACAACTGTTTTCATCAACCCAACATTCCCACAAACTATAGAACATGTTAACAGGTACCACTCTTGAATAATCATACACTAAAAATCATCATCTTAGAATCACGTTATATTAAGGTTGAAAGAATTGGACCCAAGTGGCAACAAAGTCACAATTCGCGAGCTTCTTACAAAAATTTCAGACAACAAAACGGTAAACATCTGAAGTTTTACCACACCATTTCATGTTTTACAATGCATGTGTTACATAACTTCTCTCAAATAGCAGCAACCTCATGTCATGTGCACGGCTCAAATCAAAGAGCTGTATGCACACCGAACATGGTATTATGTCCATTGCTCAAAATGCCCAAAGAAGTTGTACCAAGAGGATGACACCTCAACATATTTTGTATGTGAAGACCATGAGGACATACAACCAAAGTTCAAGTAAGTATCAACCTATAAAAATATATACCTATAATAAGATGATATACTATAACAATTCTTATATGATCTATATAGGTATTGCATAAATGCATCCATCACCAACGCAACAGGAACCTCTGATGTCATATTCTTCAATGAAGTTATGACTGAAATGTTGAACATAAACTGCGAAGACATGGTTGTAAAGCATGGATACATAGACTCAAAGATACTGCCACCACTGATTATCTCTCAAATAGGCATACCACACCATTTCCACTTAACACTGAATCCCGACCACACAATTGTTGTGAACAGGATAACACAACTTATTGACAATCGTTCGGGAAGAAAATCCATCCACCTACCCTCACTTACACCAGACCCAAAACCAAAAAGAATACAACCACCTCCACCAGGTATAAATATAAACATGATTTCTTACTTTACTTTATTTTTACATCATACCGTTAGATATTCATATAAGCCAACACATCGCAGCCATCACTGATAGCAAGAAGGCACGACAACCAAATTAGTATGGAATGTAAGGTAATCCAATTTACAAAGTTCGTACTTACAATTTCATCTATAATCTTTGTGATATGTGCCTAAAATTTTGGTGCAGAACAGCATGTCGAAATCTTTTGGATACCCCAACATATGTACATACCTAGCTTTTGTTGAACTACAGATCGACTGCAACGCTAACCAATGATCCATCCTTTTGAATGACGTCCTAAAATATTTTTGTAGCTACAGTCAGCATATTACCGTTAAAATATGATGTATGGTGTTATATTTCACATGTCAACCAACTTTTGTATCACGTAACCACTATCATACGTTTAAAATATGATGTTTATGCTATATTCACATGTCTTGCAATTACTAAAAGTCATATGGTCATCCCGCTGCAACGCGCGGACAGGTCAAAACCTAGTTATTATTAAATATAAAAATGGACTCACATTCTCACTCATCCCCTTTTTCTTACACATACATACGAGTCACCACCCTCCTACATCACCTTCCTCAGATATACCCTCTCCATTCTCATACCTTAAACCAACATCCTTTTGCTCATTAGCAAAGAATCACTACCACCTATTGTCATTGGAGGTGACAAGAACCGACACCACTCACCATGGCTAGACCCCCCCCCCATCCCCTTCGAATTTTCTGAAATGATAACCAAAAACAAAGATCGATGAAGGGTTTTAAATACACACATGATTTGTTATTCGATTTCCTGAGTATCAAAAATGAATATCATTAATGAGTGAATCGATTTACAACCTTGGTTTACACAAAGATCGATGATTTTTATTCGATTTCTTAAGTTTTATCCCCTGCCGTTAATATGAACACCAATCTGCCGTGCCTTTGTGTCCTCACTATTGTCATCCTCGCCCAATACGATGAACCTACAAATAATGATGAAATTTTAGTTGATCTTATGTGGTCACAATACCAGTCATTTTGTGAGAACAAATTGAATGATAGGAAAAGGAGATTACTTGTATTTGTGATTGTATTTGTGTGTCAAAACACTAGAAAATAAGAAATATATGAATTTGTTTTGTGTGTGGTTATGTAATATAGAAAGAGAGCCATGGTGATGAGGTGGGTGGAAGTGTGGCTATTTATGTCCCGATTAAAGTGGGAAAAAAAGATGTGTGGCGTACTTGCATTTTAGAAGGAGAGAGTGATATGGGGTGGTAGGTGGGCCTTTTTTATATCTGATAATAATAAATTTAAAAACTAAAAGAAAAATAAAAAATAAATATATTAAGGGTATAATACTCTTTTGTGTTTGGACATTGACCAAAATGACCAAAATTGTAAGCAAACTTGGTGAAAATGACCACAAATCCAAAAGTTTAGTGGTATGTATTTTTTTTCTTGAAAAAATGCATACCACAAAGACCATTTTTGTAGTTTTGTCTAAAGATAAAAGATATAATTAACAAAATTTAGAAAAGACATATACTTTGTATTCGAGTATCGGATTAGAGTTCCATAGGTGTGAGAGTAGTTGTACTTCCTTCTCCATCGTCGTTTGTTTATTTTTTTTAGATTGTTGAGTTTGAAAATGTCCATACTATCCGAATGAAAATCAAATATGATGCATTTTCATCTCAGACATGTAATTTGGTCCAGTAGATCCTTGACTATGTTGTAGTAGCTTTGGAGTCGAGGAAAGGTTATACACCAAGCTATCTCACCAACACTAAAACTCTTGTCATATTTGCTTTGTTAACGAACATGAAATTAAATAAAATGTGATGTTCATCATCATGCCATGTTTTAGATATTTTGTCATTCGTATAAGAACCCATAACAATCATGAAGAGATTTTTTAAGGTTGGTATCCAACCATGTCGAACTCTCTAAGAGATCATATTGTTCCAATGCCACAAAAAAACCATAGTGAGAAAGAGAGTTTCCATCACGATACTTTTTAAATGAGGATAAAAATGATTTTTGAACTATCCATGGTCTAAGACCAAGAGGAAGTCACATTCGCATCATGATATAATTATAAATATTTTTGAAACTGAAGATTGATTTTTGACAGCACAAGAGGAAGTCTTGTTGGTCCTAAATGGATTATTAAGGCAACCATTAGAACCATGTACAACTTTGATAACATGCTTCCAAACATTATTGCTAGAGTCTCCAGATTTCCACCACCAGTTACCAAGAAGAGCAAAGTTTTGTGTATTTAGATTGACAATATCTAATCCACCATGTTCTTTAATATAATAACATTGTCTCATGCAAATCAAACCATTTTTTTCTTTTCTAAACTACCTCCCTAAAAGAATCTTATTCTCAAATTCTGCAAACTTTTAGTTACTATGGCTAGAGCTTTGTAAACAACAAATAATACAATCGAGACTACTTAGTACAGTTTTACAAAATGTCAATAGACCACCAAATAAGAGTGAATATACTTTCCATCTATAGAGCTTGGATTATAATTTTCCAATTAAAGAAACTTATTGTGTCGTTCTACCCATGGGCGCACCAATAAGAAGACCAAGATATGTAAATGGGAGAAACCCAATTCGGCAGTTAATTCTTCGGGAAATGATTCTACTTCCACATGTGTGATTGAAAATCCAAAGATTTTGATGTTATCTAGATTGCCATTGAGACCAGCTGAGAGTTTAAAGCATCTTATAATCTTGATATGTTACTCTATTTCTAAAATATGTAATCAATTCAGGAATTGAGTTAAGTAAAAAGAACAAAGGGACTCTAAAATATGAATGAGTTTGTTACAATTATATATCATGTGTTTGCCAAATATTGGAGATTACGAAATGGTTTAACAATATTCGAGTTCAAGAGCATAAGAATGTGTGATTTTGGTTTACATTAAAATCACGCATTTAAAATCAATTAAGTGTTTGCTATTGGCTTCAACTCACAAAACAATTACAGGTTTTGCAAATCAAATAACTTGAATGATCTAACCCTAATTCATATAGCCAACAAGAATAAAAATCAAACCAAAATTTAATTTAACATAAAACTAAATTCACTAAATAGAATTCAAAGAAAACATCAAATCACATTATTGATTTGCAAACCATAGTCAAAACATAGAACTGGAAAGCTAGGGTTTTAGCCATACGTGGTTGAAACGAACACATGTCAATAAATATAGAATAGTACGTAAATACGACTTGCAGTCTGACAAAATAATGTTTCCAAATGATAAAGATTAAACCCTAACCACAAGCTTCCAAATCGTATGGATCCTGATGCTCTTTGGTGGTCAATATATGTGCAATTGATCACAGTCCCCAAAATAAGGCTAAAAATAAAAAGTACTAAAAAGTTGTCATATGCAGGACACGACCCATGTCATTTTATTGTAAGTACATATAACCGTGATGAGGGTTAAGCGTGTTGCCTTAAAAGGGTCTTCATCCAAAGTTCATTGCCAAAAAAAGCTTGTCTTCACATGACATGACCCGTGTCATTTTAGTGTAAAGTGACACGATTTGTGTCAGCCTTCAAATCCTTAACCGTCTTCACTGGATGCGACCTGTGTCAGCCTCAAGGCCAAATATGGGGCATGACCCTGTTTTGGTAAAAAATTAACAATCTAATTTCGTAACCAAATTGGTAATTGTGGTGTGATGTTGAAATTGTGATTTTATGAACTAGAATGGTAAAAATCTTAAAATGTGTCGTAGATCTTGATAGTGCCCAATATCATGGGAAGAAGATAATGATATTAGGAAAACTGTAGAATATAATTGATTCGTTTTAAGTTGTAAACAAGCATATGTTAGGTAAATGGGACAAAAATAGTGTTAAAATGATTATCAAGTGATTTGATGTAATATGTTTGTAAAGTACTCAAAAATGGTATCAAGATACCACATAATATCTTAATAACTCGATATGTAAATAGATTAACGATCAAACAGGTGTGGAAAAGGTATGGTAATCGATCAAACAATCACAAGTAAGTAAAATCAAAACAAAAACACGATGATATACGAGGAAATCCCTTAATCATTTTGGATATTCGGCATAAAACCTCGGGAGGTGATAAACTCACCTACCTTAGAAATTATATTAAATTGTAAAGAACAGTTATACGTGCTAGCTAATCTTAGAAAGAGGGTGTTCATGCTCAAGTGTCATGAAAATCAGAGAAGAAAGAGAAGTGAATGCCCAAGTGTGCATATGATTATCTAGTCTTTTATACACAACAATAATGACTAATATTCCAAGAATATTGGGATTCTCCTTGGACTTCTCTTGACCCGACTTTCTCGAGGGTCTTCAACGTTCTTTAAGTGCTGGCACGTGCTATTAACTTGGTCTAACTCTTTTCCATTAAGTATTAAGTCCTTGCATAAGATTCCACTAGAGAAACGATGGCAATCCAATATACTAAATAAATCCAAGATTAGATTTGTCCGGGATGTTAGTTCAAGTTCAAGATATAAGAATAGTAAGTTAACAAATCTACCCATAACAGACCCGTGTATCAGCCATGCATGTTAACTCAACTTTGACTTTTCAAAGTGCTTGCTTTTCATCCGATAGCTCTCAAAATTTCACCATAACCTCCTTTCACCTCCCTAGGCGTGTTCCCATCCTCGTATTACATGAAATCATCATACTTTCAACCGAGAAACACATATTTTCCCAAAATGTAAGTCAAATGCAAAGTTCTACAAGTAATTTTAATGCATAAATGGGAAAAACGTTGTACAAAAAGATGCATAAAGTGCACCTAACAAATATCCCAGGCTTAGTACTTCCTTATCCTAAAATGATAAGAGAAAAATATACAACACGAGATGAAATTAGGCAACAAGAAGGAACAAAGAAGCAAAATGAAAGAACCTAATGAAACCAGGAATGAATGCATGCAATGATAATTTTTTAACAATTTAAAAGACTATGCGCTAAGCAACAGAGAAAGGCTTTATTAATGGGTTCGACTAAACTTAATTTGTGTGAATTTCTGCGAATACTATCATCTCCATATTTGACTTTACACTAGGTATAGTTAAATGTCTTGGAGTATATGATTGGTTTTTCTTTCGTGACATAGAGTCTCTTAGCTTGATCAAGTATACTCTCGAACTCACAAAGATTTATATGTGATCCTTGAATGGAAGAAATCAACATAGTTTTTCAATTAACTCATTCATCCAATCATATTAGATTTCAACTTCT